TGTTTTTCCTTAGTGGCTTCCAATTGGAGCTATCCAGAGAGTGGCTTTACATAGAGCTCAGAAACACTGAGCTAGAGAACCTTAAATCTTTCATGGTGTGCGGCATGGAAATTTACCTGACCTTAGTTGGAGACTATCTGGGGCAGTAAGCATACCATCTGATCCTCAGGAAGGAGGCATTATCCTTCTTGAAAGGATAGGAGTACATGCAGAAATGCTAGAGACTCTTAAAGCATTGTGTGCCCAAAGGCTTGCGTAGAAACTGTCTGAAACACAGCACAGTATTGATGGAATCCAATCTGTGAATGCATCTGAGTGTTCACGTACACTGATTTCATGTTCTTTATGAAGATTGTCGCAATAAAGGAGGAAGCAAAGTGCTTCCTATCTCTGGTTGATTCTCTTTGTAGCTGAGCTTAGCTTGACAGTTGAAAAAAAATTATTATCAGTAATCCACATCATTGGGGATGGATGAAAATTTTAAAACTTAGAATGGTTCTATTTTTAGCTTATTTTTAGAACCATAGTCAGAATTCCTTAAAATTTTTTTTTGAAAGATTTTATTTTCTGTGTATAAGTGCTTCGCTAGTGTATGCTTGTGCATCACATGTGTGCCTGGTGTTTACAGGAGTCAGAAGAGGGCATTCACTGGGTCTTCACCATGTGGGTACTAGGAACTGAACCCCGGGTCCCCTACAAGAACTTGTTTGTTTTTTGAGGCAGGATTTCTTTACAGCTCTAGCAGCCCTGGAACTCACTCTGTAGACCAGGCTGGCCTCAAACTGCCTCTGCCTCCCATGTGCTAGAATGTATATCTGGTTTATAACAAGTAAACTGTAGAGCCATCTCTCCAGTCCTGGTAGGATTTCTTAGATTACTTAAAAGTAAATAAAAACAATTGCAATCTCAGTCTCAAAGCTTTTCCAACTTATTCCTGGACTTAGATCCATTTTGGCTTAATGCCACTGACACTTGAGGAAGTTAGGAAATTTGACAGCTGCTTAAAGAACACCTTATATAGTTTAAAGGTAAAGGTTTTTTTTCCTCCTATAATAAAAATACAAAACTATGAAAGCCGTGTATGTTTAATGTACATACCATTTTTTTTTAAAACAATGCTTTTCACTGTGAACTGGTTTTTCACTCAGAAAGGAAATGCATGTCACACAATGGCACTGTGATTGGTACTGAGTATTCTTAAATCATTAGGTGACCTTAAGATGGGCCATTTCAGTAGTTGTTTCCTACATTTTAAGCTATTCATTTGGGATAAATGATAGACTTCTATATGGGGGGCTAAGTTTTAGAAACTCTGAATATAAACATTCATTTCTTAACATAAATTGCTCAAAAGCTTACATTCTCTGCAAAATCTGTGTTTTCACTGTGTTTTATTTTTCTTTTCTTTCTTTTTTTCTTTTTTCTTTTTCCTTCGAGACAGGGTTTCTCTGTGTAGTTTTGGTGCCTGTCCTGGATCTCGCTCTGTAGACCAAGCTGGCCTCGAAATCACAGAGATCCGCCTGGCTCTGCCTTCTGAGTACTTGGATTAAAGGTGTGCGCCACCACTGTCTGGCCTTCAAATGATTTTTAAAAAGAAAATATATCAATGCAGTCACCGTTCAGGGTGAGAAAGAGGTCTTGTCTGTCTGTGTAGGACAATGTGCATGAGTGGAAGGTGCTTGCAGGGTCCTGAAGAGAGTGTCGAATCTCCTGGAACTGGGGTTGCAGGTGGGTGTGAGCTACCCAACATGGGTGCTGGGAACTGAACTTGAAGACCATCTCTCCCTTCATTTAAAGCAAAAGTTTTTATTATGTGCTCGTTATTATCTCAAAATAAAATTATCTACTCACATACACAAATTTAATATAATGCTCTCATTATAACAAAATGAAGTAAAAGGTATTTTTCTAGTGAAATATGCTATCATGATAATGGACTAAACTTCTGTCTGAAATGTAAGCCAGCCCCAATTAAATGTTTTCCTTTAGAAGATTACCATGGTCATGGTAGCTCTTCACAGCAATAGATATATGCTTATACCTACTTGAATAAGTTTGGATTTAAGAGAAATAAGACAGGATTAATGATTTTACCATTATAAAAGAACAAAATGTAATATACTTATGGTGGGGTCAGGTCAAGTGAATCATTGGTGAATGTTTGTGAACTAATACACATGAATTGCATTGGTAACTTAAGCATGGCATTGTTGATAGAGTAAGTTTTGTAATGGTGACCTTCACTTTTACAGGGTTGAAAAAGTTTCCTGTTTTAACAAAGTCGTCCTCAAAAAGAGATTTTTCCTATATTGTGTTTTGTTTTGAAATAATAATACACTATCAAGTTTAAGACATAGACTAGAGAACAATGTGACCAGGTAACATATTGTGGTTGGAGTTTGTGGCAGAGTAAAACCCCTCATAAAATGTCCAGAAAGTAGAATAGCCTGGAAGAGTTGGGTCTTAATGATCCTCCAAAAGGATAGATATATCTCCTCAGCCAGTGAAAGAGTCTATCATCTCCCAGTTTTGTCACTCTGGAGAGTAGGCCTTTGGGGGACATTCAAAACCAAAATCATAGCAGGATGAACATTTGAAAGTTCAGTAGGATAAAATGTAAATTATTCTGTGGTATTGCCTGGCATTGCAGAATGTTTACCATTCTATATACCCACTCCCCCTTTCGAACCACTCAGCTATTATGCCAAGGGAAAATACTTTATCTTTAGGTAAAAGATTGTGTTTGTGCCTTATAGCACCTTCACTTTATATAACCTCCCTTTTTCTGAGATCTGTAAAGGTGTGTGTGTATGTGTGTGTGTGTGTGTGTGTGTGTGTGTGTGTGTGTGTGTGTGTGTGTGATTGAGAGAGAGTGTGTGTTTCTGGTAGTAGGATGATAACAGCTCCTATAACAGTCTTAGCTTTTATGAATTCAGTGTTAAGTTTTTGTGGATATATGCCTATGCATGCCTTTATGGTAGGTTATAGCTTTCATCAGATTCTCAAAGAATTCTATGGCTTAAAAATGTGGACTAGATGTTACTTTGAACCAAGCAGCAGAGTCTCTGTTAGCCATAACGTTTGGCTATTTTGCTTATGGTTATTAGTACTCTTTAATTTTCCATTCTGAGAAGAAACAGTGGGCTCAGACTGAGGCTTGCCCAGGACACATTGGAGTAAAGAATCTCTAGTGACTCTCTGGGTGTCTTCTAATAGGATTCATGACATTGTTTTCATAAGGTTAACATGTCGAAGCATTTTGTTCTGGAGAGATTCTTTGTCCTTTGGTTGTATTATTTCATCTTTGCATTTTTATGTTAGGAATATATATTCCCTATTGGGTAATACATTAAGTACTTTTTTCAGAACACATACAATTCTTAGGAGTTTGTTGATTGAAAATATATAGTTATTTTTAAAATTATGTGCAAGCTGATCAGAAGGGTCAACTATACAGGCCTACCACATTGCATGCTCCCAGTTACTGTTGTGATTTATGGGCATTGAGACTAGTGAGGAGGGAATGCCTTGCTTTACCCCTTTCAGATGTATTTATTTCTAGTAAAGTGGACAGGTTGGAGGTCCCCCCCCCCCCTTTAATCTTGGTTCATTGTATTGTAGAGATCTGCTTTTCAAAGAGACAAGCAGTTTGGGAGCATCAAAGGGTGTAAGGTAGTTTATAGAATGAACGAATAGCTTATACTGAAACAAGCACTTCAGAATAAACTACTTCTCAAGGTTTGAACTAAGCACTTTTTAAGTCACCCCACTTTTGTGAGGTAGTTTGTTTTCTCGTGTTAAGCATTAGGCAGAGCTGTTTGTTTCTATTTTCTGCAATCTATAATGAATGCCTCTTTTGCTTTTCTGGAAGTCTTTGTCTTAGACAATTTCCCAACATTCAGTCAAACTATTTATTGAACATAGTTGGTTGGAGAATTTTCTCAATCTGGATTTCAAAGTATGACATTCTAAATAAAGTTTTATAAAAGAACGTGATTTTTGTTTAAGATTTAAACGAACAGGGTTAGAAGGTGACTCAGTGATTAAGGGAGCTTGCTCCCAAGCTTGAAGGCTGATGTTCAATCCATGTAAACATACACTCGAAACACAAATATGTGAATGAAAAAAGATTTAAGTAAAAGCAGGTAGGCTTTTATAATAGTTGTCTTTGACAAATAAAAAACAAGCTTAAAATTGTTTTTCAAAAGACCATTTAAAATGATTTTTGGAGTAGTTAATGGTATAGGCTTACCATTTTCTATTTGACATGTTTTTAGGTTTATCTTCTGCCTTTAATTAAGAAATTCTTGCTGTGTAAACTGGACTGTATAATCTGTCTTGGCTTTTCAGCCAAAAGCATATAAGTTTATCTTCACATCTCATAGCCCATTTTAAAAAAGTGAGGATATACTGGTTAAGTAAAGCTGGATCAGCTTTTTGATTTCTATGTCCTTCTCATTTTTTTGAGTACAAAACCAAAGCTTTAAGACAAAAACTTTGTATCTAGATAGTGGATATGACACATTATTCATAAGTATGTGAGTGGATGATTGAAGAGAAGTGTGAATACTATCAGCTTTTGGAGTTTTCAGATCAGAAATTTTACAGTTGGCCTTGTGAATGTGAAGAGGAGCACTGGTGAAGACCACTGGGAAGTTCTGTCAGTCATGTGACATGAACACTCTGTAAGAATAGAAATAGAAAGGTGGCTTTTGGTGGAGATGCTTGTTGCCATGCCCGAGGGCCTGAGTTCGGTTTCTGGTACCCATGGAACGGGAGGAGAGCACCAATCCCAAAACATCTTTTGGTCTCCACACAGGCACTGTGGCATGCACTTGCTCATAGGCAGAACACACAAACATGAATAAACGTAATCAGAATGAGAGAACTAAAATCATAGAGTAATTTTGTGGTTGGAATTATCAAAAGATAGAAAAATATAGTTCTTGTTTTTTTTTTTTTGTAGAAAATGAGATTGAGATTATATTAATTTAATCTTGAATTCTACTTTTGTTATGAATCCAGTTTTAATTCTCTTGTTTTTAAACCTTACAGGCCCCTTCACAGATGTAGTCACTACAAATCTTAAATTGCGAAATCCATCGGATAGAAAGGTGTGTTTCAAAGTGAAGACTACAGCACCCCGCCGGTACTGTGTGAGGCCCAACAGTGGAATTATTGACCCCGGGTCAATTGTGACTGTTTCAGGTAGCAGTTCATGCCTTTAATAGTGTTTTCATCTGTTTATTATTTGGCTACAGTTTGTGTTTAAAGGTGTTCTTGGGGTATCTTGCTATAAAAAAAGTTGACTGAAACTTTTTCACTCTCATTTTGTGTGTGGGTGTATGATTGATTAATGTCAACTTGAAACTTCACATCTATTCTTCATTTCTATAGCTCATCAACCATATTCTGTGTTTTCACTAGTTTATCTTTGAACACAGTACGGTTTTGTTGTTATAGCATGTTTTGTGCAACTACAGAAGAAATGTTTTGAGTCTTTTGCTTAAAAATGTACCTGTTTTGGGCCCACTTATAAAATCAATGAGTCTTTATGATGTTCATTGTAAATGCCAACGGGGTCTTGCCTTGAAGACTGCACTGCTCTTCCTCCTTTGTGTATTGCTTACAGTTCCTTATCTGCACCATTTATTCCTGCTGTGGAGTCTGCTGGTGCTATTGAAATGTCTTCTGTAAACTGTCCTTCCCCAGGCAGCCCTTCTAAAGAGACAGTACTGCGGAACAGCATCCGCCATCGTTGAGAAATAGGCAGCAAGGCTGAGGAGGCTGTGTGTGGCTCCATGTAGCTTACTTGTGAGAGAGCCTCTGGCCTCACACAGAGACTTTCTTTGTAAAACAGTAGTTCTTTTTTTTCTTTTTGTAAATTACAAAGGGAGCAGGAAAACATATGGATTTCCTGTTTGTTATGTTAGATCATGGGGATCAGTTGGGGTAGCATGGCATAGTACTTGAATTAAAACCCCAATGACTCATGATAATGTTCCGAAAATTTTAACAAATTCTACAGCTCTTTCTTATTTAATTAATTAGTTTTTTTGGGGGGGCGGAGTTCAAGACAGGGTTTCTCTGTGTGTAGCTTTGTGCCTTTCCTGGAACTCGCTTTATAGACCAGGCTAGCCTCAAACTCACAGAGATCCGCCTGGCTCTGCCTCCCAAGTGCTGGGATTAAAGGCGTGCGCCACCACCGCCTGGCTACAGCTTTTATATTTAAGCACATGGAATATTAAAATAGCAAATTATAAAAGACTCATTGGGAATATTTTGAAGAACTACAAAGATGCTATATACATCTTAATTACTAATTTGTTTATTATTCTCCTATCTTATATTTGTGTCACATAGATTTAGCATGCTGATTGAACTCATGGAGCCTTAAAACTTGCAGCCTACTCAGATCTAAAGACATAAAACGTGGATGCTATTGGGATTCTAGAATCAAGAAGTTATGATTTCCTTTGTTTTCTTAAAATCAGATCTAAACAAATGAATACACTCTGAGTAATTGTTTAAAATCCAGTTTAGAAAAACTAGTTATATTAGAACAATGTCTCAATTGCCTAAATTAAAATCATCACAGAAATGAATTTAATAATTGAAAGTTATAAAGTTGAGAATGAATAATAATATTTGAGTTTTGAACCCATCTTGATTTTCTTTAAATTTGTTGCTGCGGTAATAGGAGATAAAATGTCAAAGATAATGTGTCTTTTCTTTTTATTTAGTAATGCTACAGCCCTTTGATTATGATCCAAATGAAAAGAGTAAACATAAGTTCATGGTACAGACAATTTTTGCTCCACCAAATATTTCAGATATGGAAGCTGTGGTAAGTAAGTGTAGAAGTACAGAAATTATTTTTGGAGATAATAGTTTAAACTTTGGGTTTTGTTTCGCTCTCAAAAATCTTGATTTCCTTGCCAAAATTAAATATCTGTAAGTCTGTCCAGAACAAAATTGAAGAATGGAAATACTTGAAATACTGTTTTCTTAGAAACCATTTAGAAATGCTAACATGAAGAAAAAAGTCATGTGTATTGCTAATGTCATTGTCATTCTTTTCATTACATTTTTATTTGTTTGATTGGGTATTCTATGGGAAATGTGGGGAATCAGAGGGCAGGTTGGCACAGTTGGTTCTCTCATTTGCCTTATGGATTCCTAGGATTGAACTCAGGTCAGCAGTGGTGGCAGCAGGTACCTTTCCTTCTGAGCCGTCTCTTGGGCCCAGGCCCCAATGCCACTGTGATTTTAATTGATGGCGATAGTAGGTCTGCAACTTCTAAAGGTCCAGGGACATGGGCAGGTGATTGCGGCAATTAGCAAGCACTCCAGCCTTGTACCCTAGATGAGCTATACCCTTAGCAGTTTTCTGAGCAACCACGTTCAGCTTCAGTTATTTTTTTAGATAAACCTGTTTGCCACAATCTCTTATCTTATGTATTTTTTTTTTAAAGTGGAAAGAGGCAAAACCTGACGAATTAATGGATTCTAAATTGAGATGTGTATTTGAAATGCCGAATGAAAATGATAAACTGGTAAGTAAGAATCATCAGATAGTTGATTATCAGTGTCTGATTTTGGACTTGGGGTGGCAAGTCCATCTAATGAGACTTAAGTTTAAAAAAGCTTGATAATGCTGTTTGCGTTTTACAATGCTTTGTTTGACTATGAAGAAATACATATTAATTGGTAGGTCCAAATTTCAGGGTGGGAAGAAATTCTAGGAATACTCTCAAATCTTACTTTTTAGAACAAGATAAACATACATAAATATAATTAGGAAAGATTGTATTAGAACCTCTTTTTGAGTAACAGTAACAACATTCTTGGGATAAAATATAATTACAGGAATAAGTGGTGTTTTTTTTTTTTTTTTTTTTTTTAACAGTTTAGCCTTTGTAAAATATTTTGACTTTTTGTTTTTTGATTAAATTCAGTTTTATTTTTTAGTAAATGGTTTGTTTTGTTTATTGATTAGTATTAAACAGTTACGCTTTTGTGGCTTGAGGGATAGATGTGTTTAGTAAAAGCAGACCAGTGGCCTGTGGTCTGTTGGGTGGGTGTGGTTACTTTATTCCTGTCTTCTTTCTGATTTAAGAATTTTATTGTATGCATGTGGTTACTTTGCTTTCATGTGTGTCTGTGCACCACTTGTGTGCTGGTGCCCTCAGTTAGAAGTGGGTGAGGATTCCCCTGGAACAGGTGTTAGAGGTGGCTGTGAGCTGTTATGTGGGTGTGTGCTGGAGATGGAACCAAGGTCCTGTGCTCTTAATCACTTGACGAGCTATCTCTTCAGCCTTGTGGATTTGAAGTTTTTCTTATGGTTTGTAGGAGGGATTGTTTTTATGTGTGTTGAAATATATAAAATAATGTGGGTAAATATAATTGATATAATATGGTTTATAGTCTCACATGATTCTTGCTTTGATCTAGTAACATATTTGCTCTGTTCAAAAGTAAACTATATTTAAGAAAGCTGAAATGAAGATGCTCTTGAATGTTAATTAGGTATTGAGCAAATAACTCACTGAATTTTCAATACATCCTTTTAAGTGAATCTGAGTTATAATAGCCAAGAGTAAAAAGTGTGGTGTTTGTACTTTTCCATATTCGTTTCCTTTTTCTTTTTGTTGGTTCAAAAATGTTTAATAGTCTCCATTGCTTTTTATATTTAATAACAAAGTAATAAATTTATATGGATTGACATTACTTTAAAATTACATTTGGAGGTTATTTCACTTGAGGGTTTTGTTTTTACTATTATCTTATAATAGTTTATTAAACACAGATCTGTTTATCTTTCATTGGGTGTTATCCATTATACTCTGGATATTGGACAAGACTGAAAAATTAAGTCTGAGGAAGTTAGAGCCTAGGTATTAATGTGATTCAGAGAGGTTCTTACTGCTTTGCAAGCCAGCAAGAAATTGATAGGCAGTTGAGCTTGTTTTCCAGACCATGAGGAGGAACAGGCATATGGACATACCAGAGAAGCCAGCCCACAGCTATGGAAGAAAGCACTGGGGACCCATTTTACCCCTTGATCAGATACTAAGTGAATCCTCTCAGTTTCTCTGCTGTGAAGTAGAACAGTAGTTTGTGGCTGGATTCTTTCTAGAATAGGTACTTATCACCCATAGGCTGGTTAGTAACATCAGAGTATTCCTCGACACTGTCAGATCCTGAACCTCCATAAGTTAGCAGAATGTCTTCCTGTTATTTGGACTACTTATATTTGTTGTATATTAAATTGGAGCATCTGCTATAAAGCTTCTTGTTTTTGTTTTAAACTAGGCATTAGACAGAAAATGATATACATTAGAAAGAGGGGTATACACTCACTATGAGTCCATGACCAGCTTTTATAATTGCTAGGTCATAAACCCTTGGATTTTACTTGTCATCTTTGTAGCCCAGAGAATTGGTTATTTTTCCTGGAGCCTCAGCTTCCCAATGCTGGCATCAAAAGCTGCCACCATGCTTGGCTTTATGTATAATTTTAAGACACATCCTAGACATTTGATTTTATTCATTAACATGTGTAATTCTAAGGACTTAAAGATCAGCTGAAGAGTTCTGATGTTTTCATATTATACATTTAAATTTTAATATGTTCACTCACATTCATTAAGCTGTCCAAGCAGCATTCAGATTTGTCCTTCAGATGTCATTAAAATGTCCTTTTTTGTAGTCTGTTTGAATTGAAATGAAAAGGAAATCCAAACAATGCAGATGATTTATTTCTTTAATTTAGTGGCTTCCTTTTTGCTTTGCTCTTCTAAAAGTAATACATGAACTAGGTTTGCCTATAGACTTTGCTGCATGCTAGGCTTGTTTTTTAAGATATTTATTTATTTGTGTATGTGTTTGCCATGTGCTTGTGAGTACCTGCAGAAGTCAGAATAGGGTGTTGGATCCCCTGGAGCTAGAGTTACAGACAGTTGTGAACCACTTGGTCCTGGGGAAGAGCAGCAACTCTTCTTAACCAGAGACATCTCTCTAGTCCTCCACATGATAGGTTTGTATGATAGCATTCTCGTGTTACATAGTTTCTTTGTCTACTATTTCTTATTGGAAGTTGGATCCTAGAAGCTTGATCAAATTTAGATTTGTTTTTGGTGGTGGTTGTAGATGTTTTTGGTGAAGTGCATAGCATTAAAGTTCAGCTACAGCATTTAGGTGAGTGATTTTCATCTAATAACAGTTTACAAAGGCAGGTTATAAACTGTTTTATCATTACTTTTTTTTGTTTGTTTGTTTTTATTTAAAGACAGGGTCTCTACATAGCCCTGACTGTCCTGGAACTCACTATGTAGACCAGGCTGGCCTGTAACTCACAGAGACCGGTCTGCTGTGATTGTCTGTTACCATGCCTGGCTTAGTTAACAGTTATTGTAAAAAATATATATTGAAAATTTCATACACGTATCCATTGTATTTTGATCATATTTACCCCCTTTTCCTCTTGGATCTCCCTGTGTGTCACCTTTTCAACTTTATGGTTTTCCTCCTATTTACAAGCATATCTCTGCTCTGGTGATATATAAGCTTTACTTCCATTTTCTGTCTCCCCTCCCCTCCTTTACTTGCAATATAATTATATATAATGGATTAGTATACATACAAAGTATAATTCATGCCTTTAGAAGCTGGGGAGATGGCTAAGTTGGTATAGTGCTTTCAGGTACTGAGACCTGAGTTTGAATCCCTAGCACTCATATAAAAAGCACAACAGGTGCTGTGTGTGTCTGTAACTTCAGCACTGGAGTTGTCTCTACTGACTCCCACTAGAGAGGAGACAGATTCCTGGAGCTCACTGACTCCATCCTTGCTGAATTGGTGAAGCCCAGGTTCAGGGAGAGGCCTCTTGAAAAATAGGGTGGAAAGAGATTGAGGAAGACACTCAACCTCAGCCTTGGGTTTCCATGTGCATGTCACATGCACATATATGAACCTGTGAATACACCTCTGTCTCTCTCTCATGCACACACATTCAAATAAGCATTTGTGCTCTGATGTCATACAATTACTACATGTCAGAGCCTGCCGACAGTCAGCTGGGTAGCTGGGTAAAGGCATGTGGGTTGTAGAGACAATGAAGAAGACAGACAAGAGTCGAGAGGTCTGCTGGTCAATGCCGGACAGCCCCAAGTTTATTTCACAGCCAGCTTATAAAGTCTTGAAGGACAGAGGTAGAACAATGCACAGCACAGGCATTCAACAATTATCTATCCTGCCTGCGTCAAGGAGCAGGCAGTTTCATTTTGTATCTCGATGTACCTCCGGCTGGCACCAGCAGCCTGTGTCTAGCTAGATAGTGTGTTCCTTCTTGTGGGCTAATCAGGACTTTCTCACAGCCCTTCAAGGAGACTCTGTGGACTAATCAGAACATTCTCACAGTCCTTGAGCAAACAAGCTTGAACTCTGTTGACTCAGAATAGACTTCAGATTCAAACTGGGAAACTGAGTCAGTTGTGAGCTGCCATAACTACATTATTAGATTGGTAGATAGAAGGCTCTTCAGGATGGTTCTTGAGCCATTGTGACTCAAGTAACCACTAGTAACCTTCATTTTTAATTACGTATCTGAGTTGTACATAATAGGTTTCATTGTTTATGTTCATACATGTACATTATATGTTTTGATCATACTCATCTCCATTACCTCTTTTTTCCTCTGCCCACTCATTAGTTCCTGTTCTTTATCCAACTGGTCCTACTTGTGCTTTCATGCCTTTTTCATTAAGGTGATGATAGGAGGATGGGTGCCATTTTGTTTACAGGGCTATGTTCACCTTCATAATGATCAACCAAGAAAAGTGTCTCTCCTTCCTCAGCAACAGTTAACTGAGTGTAAATCCTCGGGATGGTGTGGGGCTCCATGAGCTCTGCAGCTTTCTGTGATGGATTTTGGCAGGCTCAGTCCTGTGGATCTCTTGTGTAGGTAGTCACAGCTGCTGTGAATTGAAGAATGTCACGTGTGTGTCCTGCTGGGAAGTCAGAGCTTCACACTGCGCTCCCCTTCTTCCAGCATTAACATTTTTTCCCCCGTGTGTTTTTCCTAGAGCTGTGGAGAGGATGCTCTCTATGTCCTGTGTGGGTTAGCATTTGACAGTCACATGTTCTCAGTATTTTGACCAGTTATTACATCAGTCACAACTGACTTAGGAACTTTCTTCTAAAAAACAAACTATTTTAACTGTATGCATGATTGCCTTCATGCACTACCTGTGTACTTGGTATCCACAGAGGCCACAAGAGGGCATTCAGTCTCCTGGAACTAGAATTACAGGTGGTTGGGAGCTACCATGGGCTACTGGGAATCTAACCCTGGTCCTTCGGAAGAGCAGCTGGTATTCTTAACCACCCTTAGCAATCTCTCTACCCTTTCAGGAACTTTTTTGATATATAACATGACCAAGCAAAAGGCCCAGACTTAGGATCATTCCTTAAACTTTGGAAGTGTGGCACTGGCTGCTCATCTCTATAATCCCAGTACTTTGAAAGTGGAAGCAGGAGGATTGCTATGAGTTCTGGGTCAGCCTATGCTACAAGGTACCTTGTCTACAAAACTAAACCAAACAAAACTTTGGATCCTTTCAGTCAGGTTGACAGTCTGGGCGCTAGATAGACAATGACTTTAAGACAGGGCATTAATTACTGTGTAGCAGATCCTTACATAGACCTCCTGAAGTATTGTTTTGACATCAGTATTGAAATTGTTACTCTGATGGTCCTTAGCCTGCTATTAAATTTTTGTTTTGTTTTAGAAGGCAGGGTCTCTGTCCCAGGATGGTACGGAACTCGCTGTGTGAGCAGGCAGGCTGTCCTCACGCTTGTGGTAGTCCTCTTGTCTTGGCATCTTGAGTGCTTGTAGTTTAGGAGTGAGCCCTTCTGATAGTTGGTGGGTATTTTCACATGTTAGAATTTCCATTTCAAGATTCACATACAAGATGAGATGTGATGAGGATGTAACTTAGTGGGTAGGTGGCAGGCAGGTTTATCATACCAGTAGTCCTGTGTTAGATCCCATCACCACGGGAACTCGGCTGGAGAACAGTTAACTTCTGCAAGTGTTTGAAGAATATTTTTGGAAATACAGTTCTCTCTTAAGCTCATTCTGCTGTTGCTATTCACCTGCAGATTGTAAAGAAATGTTAATTAGTGTCATCTATGAGGATACAGTCCATTTGGTCACATGTATGTCCTGTCAGGGGTTTAGTTTAATGGTGCATCTCATCCTTTATCACGTGACCTGAAATAAAATGAAAGTTTTTTGGTGCTTAAACGCTTTTTTAACTCCCTAGAAGTATACACACAAAACACCTTGTCCATATTACTCTTTGGAAATAAGACTTTGTTGATAATGCCCTGTTCAGTATTATGTATAAATGAAGTTGATGAAGGTTCTAAATGTCAGTGTCTTGATATTAATTTCTTTTTAGGTTTTTACTAAAATTACCTACCCCTTTCTGTGTGTCTGTCTTAGGTTTAGTATAAGATTTGTGTTTTTGGAAGTCAAAATAATCTGATGCCTAGATGGGGTTTTGTCAGTTTACTTCAGGTATGGTTTTGTTAATCATCTTGCACGAACTAAGTAAAGATGAACACTCAATACATTTCCAAATGTGCAACATCAACAAAAATGTTACAAAGAAGTATGCTGGTAGTGTATATTTATTAGAATATATAGTATAGAACCAAATAGTTTCAGTTTGTAGTCTTGTGACACAGTAAATTGACTTATTTATATTTATTCAGTGGGGTTGGAAATGGAACTCTGGTCCTGCAGCATCCTACGTAGGCACTCTACCACAAAGATACACCCTGGTTCTGGTTTATTTAATGAATTAACTTAAGCAAAATATGATGCAGTTTTTTAATTAAGTTGCTGGTAACGACTGCAGTTCAGTATGTGACTGTATTGTGGCCTGTGGAGTTTGCATTGTCCTCATTTCGTGTATGACACTGGAGAAGTCTGTGTCTGTATATGTACATTGTGAGCCAGAATCAGTCTCCTTAATAGCCACCACACCTGACTTAGTTCCTGTTACTACTAACAGGATGGAAGGAGGCTACATTGTTTTTGATCTTTTATAACCTATTCAGACTGAATTTGAATTTTAAAAACCATTTAAAGCCTTAACTCTACTTGATATTTTCCAGATTAGTTAAGTGTATGTACTTAGTGTATTGCCCTCTATGTAACATCTGATAGTAAACTATTTTCTACAAAAACTTTAATGACGACAAGGGGACTGAATGGAGCAGGAGTTCAGGAGCCTTTTTACAAAGGCATTCTGTATTTCAAAATACATGCTCTTTTTGTTGAGACAGAATAAGTTGGATGTCTATTAAGTATTATTTTGTGCCAAAATTTTTGAGTTACTGTTTTTTAACTATAGTAAGAGAATTTGAAAGGTAAGTAGGGAACTGTGGAGTTTTGGTAGGCTAACCAGAGTGTTACATGAATCTCTGGGTTTTTTATTGGCTGGTGTGTATTTGGGAGGTAACAGGGTCCCTGAGTATAAGAGACGATTACAAATCATTAGCATTTTTTAGCTTTAAGGGGAAAATTTTTCCCGTTAAGTGTTATCAAAGGTAAGAGAACACGAAACTGAATATTTTTTAGATAATGACAAGTGTGAGTTTTTTTTTTTTAAATATATACATAGTTTCTAAGTGAAGGTGTGCAAAAGGCCATACCTAAGTTTGTGTGAGAGATATGAAAAGCTAGTTCAGAAATGTTGTTTTGATTTGATGTTCTGTTTCTGATGCATTATTTTTATGGAATAAGATGTCAGTGTTTTACAGGCTAACGCTATTTGTTAGTCGTTCCCAATATCATACAGGAGAAATGAGTTTGGTATGAATCTGAGAATATTTTTCCCATGCTACCTCAGGGTAAAACTCCACCAGGGATTGCTTCAACTGTCACTTCAATGAGCAGCGTCAGCAATACAGTTGCAACACCTGCCAGTTATCACACGAAGAGTGACCCCAGGGAACTAAAAGAGGTGAAGCAGGTTTGTCATAGGAGCTAACAGAAGTAGGAGTCTACTAGTGTTAGTAAGTTAATGTAGATACCTAAGCAGATGAGTACTATTGAGTGTGATAATAAATAGTTAGGATTAATTTTTTTTCCCCAGACTCGATCTCATGTTACCTAGATTGGCTTCTCAGCTCACTCACTGTGTAGCCAAGGATGACCTTCAACTTCTTATCCTCCTGCCTCTACGAGAAGTCCTTAGATTGCAGGTGTGAGCTACTGCACCTGGTTCTGTGCTGGGGGTAGAGCCCAGGGCTTCCTGCGGGCTCAGTGTACTGGCCGAGCTTCTCCATCCCCAGAACTTACATTTTAGACTGTGTTTAAAATGACAGTAGAATTGACAAGTTCTGAAACAATCATCAGTAGAGTCACAGGCGTTGAGTGGATATAAGTAAGTGAACAATATCAAATTGGTGTAATTTTTCCCGTGAATGAGCTTTGGGGAGCATAAGCTGAACATTGAATTTGTAGCTTGTTTGAATTAGCATAGCAGATATATAGTAGGTAGGAGCTAGGAAGCAATGCTTTTCAACAAGCATTTGTGTTTGTAGGAAAGAAAAAATACAAGAATAGTAACCTTTATAACTGTCATTGTTTACCTGCAGTGCTGGGACTTTTTTAAAATCATGGCTAAAAATGAGGCCATAATTTAACTCTGCATGTATGTGCTTGAATGCTAATAAGGTTAGGGTAACTGAGTTTGCTGGTTGAATGGGTTCTGTGTAATTCTTGTTAGCATTTATTACTTACTGGAAAGTTCAGAAATATTATTAAGATTAATAGTTAAATGCTATACGTTCTTATACTTTGATTTGGCATAGAAGAGGATATGCATATAATAAGGCTTTAAAATTTAAGTTTATGTGTGTGGGTGTTTAGTCTACATGTTGTGTGTTTATACACCACGTGTGCCTTGGGCCAATAGAGGTCAGAAGAGGATATCAGATCCCCTGGAACCAGTTACAGATAGTTAGTTGTGAGCCACCATGTTGGTGCTAGAAGTCACACCCAGGTCTTCTGGAAGATCAGCCAGTGTTTTTTAACCACTGTACCATCTCTAGCCCCCTAAGAAGGCTTTAAAAATACCTTTTATTAGCTGAGTGTATTGGTGCAGTGGTGCACACCTTTAATCCCAGCACTATGGAGGCAGAGGAAGGCAGAGCTCTTGGTGAGTTCAGGGCCAGCCTGGTCTACATAGCTAGTGGTGAGGCCTGTTACAAACAAAGAAACCAACCAACCAACCAATTCTCTAAATTTCTAATTCTGTTTGGCTTTATAATTTGGAATTATTTATTTTTGGTGATCATGGGCCTAGAGAAACCATACATTTGCTGTTGGAGTAGGAAGAAAAAATTCCAGAGAACATTGTTTTTCAGATATTTCAACTTACAAATTAAAACTTTAATTCTGACAGTATAGTCATAGTTTAGCTGTATACCATCTTTATGTATTGACACCCTTCACTCAAAATAGTGATAGAAGAATGTTCTTTAGTTCCTCTCTTCTCAGAGCTTCATTGCAAATACTTGCTCTGCCGTAGAGTTCACCTTTGCTTTCTGTGTCTAGTGCCTACCTCCTTTCTAATTGCCCCCACACAGTTATTAAAGTGGAAATCCTGATGGGGCCACTGCAGACAGGCAAAGGAATGTAAACTAGTGGACAGTGTATAACATAAACTGGTATGTTGTCTTGACACACATTGAGGTGTTAAGGAAATGTTACTATTGGTTGGTAAGAGTCATAGCATGTTGAATCTTTCTATTTTGCGTATTTCATGGTCCTGTCCTCCATCTGCTGGGATTAAAGGTGTGCACTGCACCCCACATAAAAATTTTTTGAGAATTGAAATTTTTTATTGAAGTCATTAGAATCCCCCCCCCCCACACACACACTATTAGCTTCCTCTATATCATTCTGTAGTTAACACTGGGCTAACAGTATGATTTTTCTCTCAATTATTTTTGCCCCAGTACTGGGAATTGGGCCTATGATCTTATGTGTGTGAGGCAAATGCTTTGCTCAGCCCTTTCTTAGTTCTTAAGCAACACTTGAGGACTTTGTATTTGCCTGTTGGTGAATATTGCCTGCTTTACTGAGGGAGGCATGTGTCTTCCTTTTTGAAAGTCAAGTTGAATTATGCAGGATGGGGTTTGAAAACTCAGTTTGAAGTAAATTTTATTGTCAAGAAAAAAATAGAATAAATATTTTAGTAAAATATATCAGGTCCAGATTTTTTATATTAGAGGTGAGCTTGGTTGGGCTTTGGAGAGATTATGGGAAAGAATAGTGTCAGCAAGAGAAGCTCAGAGCAAATTGAGGTAAGCATCTCTTCATCTTTGAAGTCAGCTCCCCTTCTCAAATGTCAAACTTGAAAAGACAGTCTGCTGGCAGGTCAGTGTTGTGCATTAGAACCCCTTGTTTTCACAAAGTACTGGCATGGGCATCTTTAGGAAGAAAATTTGATTTTTGCTTATAGTTTGAGGAACAGTCTGGTCTGGCAGTGGTAGCTGATATGTTGCATCTGTAGGCAGGAAACAGCCGTTAGTGCTGGTGCTCAGTTCTTTCTTTTTGTTCTGTTCAGGACCTAGCCCCTGCAATGGTGCTACTCACATTCAGGGTCTGTAGTCCACCTCACTTAACCCAGTATAGAAAGTTTACAGGTTCTCACAGAGGTTTGTTTACAGTTTACCCTAGATCTGTCTAGTTGACACTGTTAACCATTGCAGCCCCACTGGCAGCCAGAATGGTTATGCACCGCCCAGATCTTGGTACAAATGACTACTATGCAGTGTCATGAAATTTAATTTTATAAATGCCTTGATTAGCAGTTTATATCTGGATAAAACTTGTTAGCAAATGCTCTATTACTGACTTAACCTTCTAAACCTTCTAAAAAATTTTAAGTTAAAAATCAAAAATGAAAATGACTTTATATTGATGCTATTACAGTATGTGGTGGCATAAATGACGTTGGGATGAAGGAAACGGTTTGGATCACAGGCTTAGTCACAAGGATGAATTTGGACCTTGCAGTTTTGAAAGTTGTCTTACGTTACTTCTTAAAGAGTATACCACAATGAATCACACTAATTGGATAATCTTAACAATTTGAAGACCACAGATAGCTTCCTCCATTCATTGCAGTGATCTCTTTGTTTGCTGTTTCCCTTTCAATATTTGTATTTTTTAGTTACTTTATTCCATTAGTAGACATTAGATTGTTTTTGGCTCTATGTTCTTAGGCAGCTGCAAATTTTGTTGGAATGATTATGAGGCTGTCCTATAACTTCCAATTTCTAAAACCTCGTTTGATTGTAGAATCAGACCATTGAAAATTACCTGGAGTTAGTCATTCAGCGTATTTTCCTGGACTGACTAGTGTTGGTCAAAGCACGTGTTTAGGGGTAAATAATAAAGAGAAATGGCTGTTCTCCCAGCTTTTGAAATTCTGGAGGAAATAATGTAAAAGATAAATTATTATGACATTTTAAGTGCTATGTTAAGGTAAGTACCAAGGGTACAGGAGTAGAGGAAATAGGCTGCTTATTTTATTTATGTAATAACTGCTGGTATTTATTGACATATTCCATTGAAAATGTCTACATATGACCATATTTGGTACTAGTAGAGTCTTAATAATTAGTTGAAACTTGTCACCTTTTTAGGACATTTTAGAAAGATGTAGAGTTTAGATTTTTATTAGTTAAAATCCATAAATGTTTTTAGTTAAAGATTCCCATTATCTTTGAAATACAGAATGATATGGAACCTAGCAAAGCTGTTCCACTGAATGCATCCAAACAAGATGGACCCCTGCCAAAACCACATAGTGTTTCGCTCAATGATACGGAAACAAGGAAACTGATGGAAGAATGTAAGAGACTTCAGGGAGAAATGATGAAGCTGTCAGAAGAAAACCGACACCTGAGAGTAAGTTTTCTTGGACCTGAGAGTAAGTTTTCTTGGTTGAAAATGAGTTCATGGAATGAAGGTACAAAGAATGTGTTAGTATCTTTTAGCAGTCTCTGTATGTTTATATTTAATCTTGTTGCTAATTATTTTTTATTTAACTCATTTGATTGCTCTTACTACCTGAAGATAATTAGCTTAAGACTAAAGAAACGAAGTTTCTGAAAATCCAGTAATGGAAGTGAAATAGGTATATTTTAGTTAGTGGTCAGATATATTTTGACTTTTGATAGGATTATATTCCTGATAAACCCATTGGAAGGCGAAGACATCCCAAGTTGAAAATGCACCTAATGCATATAACCTTTTAAACGTTCTAGCATAGCTTAACTCCGCACCATGCTAGCACTGGGATCCTGTGGCTGGCTAGGAGCAATAGTGTGATGCTCAGAGGATACAGCACATGTCTGGAGTGGAATTGAGTACAGCTGGCAATGATGTGTATCACTTTTCACGCTACCCTAATATCAGAATAGTAAATTGAACTGTAGTGAAGTTGGAGATGCTGTGTAAGTGTGGTTGAGGAATGGTGTCTGTAATTACCCCAGACCACATGACACATACTGTCATAACAACCACCTGCTTTGAGAAACTTGCTTTCTTAGGAGTTTCTCCTAAGAAACATCTAAAAATGTAGGACTATCAGAAACTTAAACTTAGGGCTACGTGAAACCATTGAGTAAGAAGGGAGCAGCTTCTTCTTTTACATGGAGTAAGTGAGGCACTTTAACACGAAGAAGCAGTGTGTGTCTGCCATGTGAGTTTTCAAGTTGTATTGAGTCAGTGAACCTGCCAAGTAGTGTGCTATTGCTAGTCTCTGGCTGATGTCAAATACCATGGGCGTATTGGAGGTAAGCTTACATGGTTTCATAGGAGTACACGCCTCAGCTTCTGTTTTAAAAGTCAGTGTTATTGAGGTGTAATTTACATCACATGAACGCACTGATTGTGATGACTGTTCAGGCGGAGTTATAGAATTACTCAGCTATCACTTCTATCCAGTTGTAGAATTTGTCCCAAGTCCACAGGTTCAAGGTAGACAGCAGTTAATTCTGTTCTATTCCTAGCCATACGCATCTACTGACCTCCTACAGTTTGTAGGAACTTTTAACTCCAGCACTCACCTGTTTAAAAATCTCTTATGTGTATTTTCCTGCAGGATGAAGGCCTAAGGCTTCGAAAGGTAGCACATTCGGATAAACCAGGACCCACCTCAGCTGTATCCTTCAGAGATAACGTCACCAGTCCTCTTCCTTCTCTTCTGGTTGTAATTGCAGCCATTTTCATCGGATTCTTTCTAGGGAAATTCATCTTGTAGAGTGAAGCATGCAGAGTGCTGTTTCTTTTTTTTCTCTCGACCAGAAAAAGATTTGTTTACCTACCATTTCATTGGTAGTATGGCCCGCGGTGACCATTTTTTGTGTGTACAGCGTCATATAGGCTTTGCCTTTAATGATCTCTTACGGTTAGAAAACACAATAAAAACAAACTGTTCGGCTCCTGGACAAACTGTATATTATCAGATCATCACTAGCAGATGTCAGTTGCACATTCAGTCCTTTATGAAATTCATAAATAAAGAATTGTTCTTTCTTTGTGGTTTTAATAAGAGTTCAAGAATTGTTCAGTCTTGTAAATGTTATTTTAATAATCCCTTTAAATTTTATCTGTTGCTGTTACCTCTTGAAATATGATTTATTTAGATTGCTAATCTCACTCATTCAGGAAATGCCAAGAGGTTTTCTGTGGGGAAATGGTGCCTCTTACTGTGTAAATTTTCTCCTTTACCTTTGCTAATATCATGGCAGAATTTTTCTTATCCCTTGTGAGGCAGTTTGTTGACTGAGTTTTTCATCCTTACAATCCTGTCCCATGGTATTTAACATAAAAAAAATAAAACTGTTAACAGATTCTTGCTCGGATAGCCTGTTTGTGTCTGCCATGTCATTGGGGCTGGGGCGGGCTGGGGTGGGCTGGGGTGGGCTGGGGTGGGCTGGGGCGGGCTGGGGCGGCCGGAAAGTCTACTGTGCAGAAATGGGACTTTATAATGCACACTTTTTTCTTGTGTGAAACTTCCCAGTACTTCATTATTTGTAACTTAAAAGTCTTCAGTCTGTTTTTATTAATGAATAGAATTTCAAGCTAATGCAGGTATTTTGGAAGACCAAATTGATTTTAAGAAATACAAAATTGCTATAATTTTAGTGACTTTCATGTATGCCAGTGGACTATATATCATTGTTCAGTTTACTCCATTTTTTTCCAGGGTTTCATTTTTTTTTTTAAAGCTGTATTCTAAAAGAGGACTTAATTCTTCTGAATTTTAAGTACTTTACATACTTCTGCTTTATAATGTATGTATGTATTTAGTTTTTGTTTTTTTGAGACAGGATTTCTCTGTATAACAGTCCTGGCTGTCCTGGAACTTGCTTTGTAGATCAGGCTGGCCTTGAACTCCGCCTTACCTTTGCTGGGATTAAAGGTGTGTGCTGCTACCACCTGGCAATGTATTTCTTTTTTTTTTTTTTG